CTAATCTTTAAGTATTGTAACATTTTAAATTAAAGTTATTAATTCATTATTACATTAAGTACTGTAAATATTTGAACATTTTATTTATATCTAATAAAAGTATTATTTGTGTTATATTTAATCTTAATAAACCAGCCATAAATAATTTATTTTGTCTTACATTATTTAGATGTTTTTGAATGAACATCTCATAGACTTGAATTCAATCAAACAAAGTATGTTGTAAAGTTGTTAAATATCCAACATGTCATAGATGTTACACGCAATATAGAGTCATAATATAGTGTTTTACGGATATAGTAAATGATATTTTCATATATTTACTTAACATGTAGATGACTTTTAAAAAAGTAGCTCTAGCAGGCGTTAGCAATCCCATAAACATCTTAATAATATCGATTGAGACTCTGAATAATAACATTATATATTTTCATTAAACAAACATCATTGAGATGTTTTTATGGCGGGATTTTGCAAAGTGGGTGGGTAGGTAATAGTATCTATTTATACGATAAATTAAATGAAAAATATAGTGTACCTAATTATTTTATTTTTATCTTTTAAGAACATATACGAACAACAACAGCATTGAACTTTTTTTAAATAGTACTGGAACAATTTTAATATGATTAATATGTTAAAAAAACACAATTTTAATCCAGTTGAGCTTGTAGTCACCAAATATTGAAAAAAACTCCTTGAGAAATTTAGACAAATATCTCAAAATTACGCTACTATAAAAAATATCAACATATATTCGTTTTTATACTGAATTGCACAGTAAAATCATATAACTAAGATGATACTGATTGAACTCCCCCTGGAGTTCAAAATTTGAAACATACATATAAAAATAAGAACTTTTTCAACTTAACTTTTGAAAATACTCTAGAAATACTGAGTCTATAAAATATATGGTAAATTAAAGCTTATATTACGTACTATAAGTTAAAAAAAAATTTTGTTTCGACGACCTACTACTATGTGCAAATGACTGTCGAAGTTGAACAGATTTATTAAATATTTAATAATAGATAAATTTAAATTTATTCATATATTGCACTTATAAATCATAAAACTTGTAATCAGAACATAAATAAGGAAATTCAGTTCATTATTCTTTTGGAATAATCTATCACTTTCTTAAAATTAAACATTATCTATATATTTCCATCAAAGCGTTTTTTATGGTAGTGATTTTAATTACTGTTGGATATCATCTATACTAGATCTGACTATGTCATTGTCACACTGTTCCGTGACTCCACTGTGTTACTGTTGTGGAGTGGGTGCTGTTATTTTTATTACTACCCGCCACGGTTATACAGACGGCTTTAGCATCTTCAATCCTTTCAACTCAAGAATATAATAACGGAAAGCCATTATGGATAAAATGTATTGGGGTTAGGATATGTGTCGCCCTCTAGTGTTTAATATAACTACTTTTACTTTTAAAGAACTATTATCAGTAAATAATTGTTTGTTTTCTACTGGAAATTTATTATATTGTTTTACAAAACCGTTATTGCATAAATTTTACAATGTAACTAATAATCCCGTTTAATTTATTTAACAATACGATTATTTTTATAATTACATTAAAACGTATAACATTGCTATTTGATAGAATTTTCTGATATAAATAAAAATTCTTAAAACAATTAGTTATATTTGTTTTTTTTTTCATGGATGTCTTACTGTTGGCCGCCCTAGAATTGCCGCGAGGCGTTACTTTAGAGCGACTAACGTTGCAATAAAACTCCTCTGCTTACGAAGCATGCATCTATTCGGTCGGAACTCCTCAATCCATCTGTACATGGCCTCGTTCAAGGCACCTGCAACAGCGTGCTCTTTGTCCTTCAAGACTCGGACCCTGCGTGTGGTCCATCTCACGCAAAGTCGAATCAGCACGACCAACGGTGCAGTACCCCCAATAGGCACTCCACATCGTGCGTGTCGCCTCTTATCACTCCCATACAGCCGGACTACAACTGAGCCGGTTACGCGACGTCCCTCTCAGTCGAGTTGATAGTAGTCAGCGTCTCCTTGATGTTTTCTTCCACTATCCACTCATTCACATCTAACAAAATGAATGCCGCAGACATCACCAGGCGATATCTAAGTTTGTCCACACACTCTTGGCATTTAAGAGCTCTTCAAATTTCATCTTGGGGTATTTGGAAAATACATTTACTTCTAAATTTACAAGTACAGCAATTTAATATTATATATTAATATTGTTATTAATAAAAATATATATTATTGAACAAAATAAAACTGTTTAGGATAACATTACTGGTTTAGAACATATATGTAAAATTAAATGACATTTGATTGAATAAATATGTGTTTGAGTTTCGTAATATCTTGTTTCATCTTGCTAATGCAAATATATTTTGATACATTTAAACACATATAATTGAAAAAAGTATTTTAAATATCTAAGGCAGCGCTATCTATTCATTTCGAATTAGTTATTTTAGGTATTTACAGCTGGACTGCGCCACATAGCATGACCTATGAATCGCTATATCAGTATCGGCTCAACTCATTTGGCGGTATATTAAATATAACTACTTGTCGGCCTATTCGTACTTGATCAACTCGCCAAATGTAATGTAACATTAAGACAATGGCAACGAGAAAATTTGTTTAGTTTCGATACAATGCTGAGAACGAATTGATTTTACTTTAACGAAAAAGAGAAATAATGCTCTCTTTTTTTAGAGCTGTCCATAAAAATTCTCAGTTCTTAATAGCCTAAATTTGTTGGTCTATATGACAAAGATAACATGTTTAAACTGGTTGAACTTTTTAGCGCCGAAAACTTAATAAAGAAACTCAATTTTAGGAATTTAAAAATATTTTCTCAAAACTAGGCTATTGTAAAAAAATGTCACTTTCAAAACATTTTTTTCATTGAAAATGTATAATAATCATACTACAACTATGAGTTAATAAAAATATAGAATTTGAAATTGAGTTATGTAGCGATATTTAATACCAGCTATTGATTAGGAGCTAGACCTAATGTGATATTTACAACATTCATCTGTAATTTTTTTACAAGCCAGTTTATTTTCAAAATTCAATAATTTTTGTTCTTTTAACAGTGTTAAAAGAACTAAACCAGATGCCTAATTATTTTAGTAGGTGATTTAATTCGTAATATTAAGTTCAATTATTTCGTTACTCTTTTTAAAAGTATTTTTCTAGTTTGTGAAGCTAGAAAAATTATATAATACAAATAAAAATATTAATTATTGTATTAACTTAGTGTTACATAAGAAATGTGTTGCTAAAAAATTTTTCAAACATTTACGTTTTTATGGAAATACTATAGTCGTCACGAACAAGTAAAATTATTCAAATACTCTATATATAAAGTGTTCAGTAAGTAAGGAAACGGATTTCTAATGTTCTTATTGTTTGTAGCAATTAACTTGATTCCTTACTTACTGAACGTACTGTATACATAATTATATTCTTTTTGCCATGACACTAAATATCTAACAATTAAAAATTTAAATAATAATAAATAATAACAGGAACTAAATAATATTGTCTTCGGTTAATAATTTAAAACAAATTGGTGTGTTTGAGTCTATTGCGATGAATCTATTGGACTTCTCCGAACTAAAGAAGTAGTAAAGCGAACAACTGTCTAATTAAATACACTTTCTGAGGCTTAATCATTTTTTAAAACGTTTAAGTACATTATTCATAGAATTATTTTTCGTGTGAATTTTAACAAATATGGACAACAATAATTTACTGATTTAGTTACAAAAAATGTCGGAGTGGATATAAATTGTGTGCACATATCGACTGCTAGACGTGATAATTTACACCATCTTAATGTATCAATATCAATACATTTTATATGATCCATTAGAATTGAAAATTTCAGTTTTTTTTACTCTTTAGTTAACATTTTTTTTTATTCGTTTTAGCTTGAGTAAAATAAAAACGACGTACACATTTTTTTAACCAAATTTATATATATTTTAAAGTGAAATTATTTTTTATACCCATTATAACTAGTTAACTAACGCAACCAAAAATTATGACTCTCTTTTTTACAAATCATTTATTATTTATACGCAAAAAAAAGATCATTCAATCATATTTTATGATATGACTGTCTTACCATCGTCTCAAACTAATTTTCTGGATCTGTGCTTGTGTAAAACGAGACGGTATGTAAAATTTGACCGTTGTGGAATACTAAGTTAAATCATAGGAAAAATTTGTTGTTATAAATGCAATCTTTTGGATGTGATTTATTAATACATTTTTCATGATAATCGAACACGATTATTGTTTTATTTTCATAAAAAACAAACTAAACTTTTTATATTGTTAACAAGCTTATTTGCACAAACTTTTGTTTAGAAAAAAATCAAACATTTTTTGAATTTTGTGAGAGTTTCAATTTATCTACATTTATTACACGATATCAAACGTCATTGTTTTTTGTTGTTTCCATAACGACAGAAAAGTAATGAAAGTTTAATCTCTCGAACATTCTATTCGAATTGCACGTACGCGTGTGTTAAACTTGATATTTCTAATCGATTAAATCGAGCGAAAACAAAACATATCGTCCCCAGGTGTTTTCATATTTTAGGTTATCTTGACCAGCTTTGGGGTTAGGCTAATTGCACACTCATATACTCGAATTTTATGCTATAAATAACCAGCCGAACTCACGGTTACTATCCCACCCCTGAACGGTAGTTTTTTTCTCGTCCAACTCGTTGTTATACCTTGACGATCGTAGTGCCAATGAGAATCGAGTAAAAAAAAAAATTTATTCTGGCTACAATACTCGTCTATCGCGTAGGATAAATAGTGTTGTTATTTTTTTGTAAAGTAAGACTAATGAATTTTTAAGTGACTTTTTATACGATCTCTTACATTGTGTACGCGCCTTTTTCATTTGCTAATCGGTTTGTTCGTGTTCTGTTTGTTTTCGACGTGCGTCAAAAAGCAAAAAAAAAACAAAAAAAAATACCATGAAGTTGAAAAAAATGGTTCGTTATACACGTAGCAAGAAAGATAAAAAAATCCGAAAGAGGATTGTCGTTTCTGACGTGGTGTATCCGTTTAACGGTAACTGAATGGGGCGGGAGCCGCAAGCCCGTTATTTTGAAACAACACTAGTTTTTTGAATGTATTTTTAGGATTGCGGGACATATCGGAATCCGTAAAACTGCAATTGACACTGCGTTGTTGCTACAAGGAGATTTCGAGCAGAGTTCCCGAACGGAAGTTGAAGGCCGTTCAACTGATTAGGAAACTGCTGTCGGTGGGCCGTGAACCGCCTATAGATGAAGTCGTCAACAGCGGAGTGTTGCCGCACGTGGTTCGGTGTCTAGAGTACCGCAGCAGGTGAGCTACATTTACGCGAAGACACACATCGATGACACGGGGCGAGCGCGTTGTGTTGGTGTGTGTCCTTTTCCATATTTCCTAGAATCGAGCTCTACCATATTTTTAGCGTGCGATTTACAAACAATTTTGAAAATGTATTCTTCTCCTCCAAATTGTCCGTTTTGACTATTAGCCGACCGTTGTTGTTCCGTAATGATCCGTCTATTCGACTATTGGCTATTGAAATTCGAGATTGAGGAATCCCGTCGTAAATTTCAGACGCCAACATTTTGTCGGTAGCCGAGCACTGTAGCCAAGATTAATTTTTACAATTGTAGGTGGAGAGGTTCGACAGTGGAAACATTAAATGCAAAAGAAATTCTTAAGATTACCGGAAAATGAAAATAATTGCGTTTTTCTAAAAGAAAATTATTTTCTTTTTACAGCTATACACTACAGTTCGAAGCGGCTTGGGTTTTGACCAACATTTGCGGTGGTTCGTCTCTTCAGACACAAACTGTCGTTTCGGCAGGAGCCGTTCCGTTGTTTTTGAATTTACTGCTTGTTGGAAACTATAAAGTATGCGAACAAGTCGTGTGGGCCATAGGTGAGTCTCGTCTTGTATTACGATCAACAGTTATGAATCGATGAACAAATACTAACGTGTATTTCACGTGTGCATATATACCGACTAACGACCCTGTTGTCTTGCGTCGATATCGATTTATAATAATCGATATAAAATAAAATGACTAACAACAATAGTAGTAGTAACAACTTTGATATATTCTCTTAACCGACCGTTTATTTTTTCACAATTTTCAATTGTGTTTTTTACTGTTTATATCAGCGGCGATTCGTATTAATGTGCAATTCTAAAAGAAAATCAACCTCTCCTAACCATTGCATCGAACTGTAGGTTACAATTGGTAATCATTAAGGTCATGCGACAATGTGTTGCATAGCTTTTAGAAGAATCGAAAGTTTGAACGAGTTTAAGGCGGTATACAGGGACGTTAGCGGAAAATAAATTTTCTGTGTAAAGCAGCTTGTCAACAACAAAACTTGTTATTTAATAACCGTTAACGTTAAAAAAAATCAGATAACGATTAGTTGCATTATTTTTGTGTAGTTCAGAAAAATCACACCATATATATATATTTAATATAAACGTTTGATTTTATGGCAGGAAATATAATCGGAGACGGCTCCATTCTTCGGGATTATCTGATCGGTTTGAATTTTTTACCAAAACTGATTCATTTTATCGATAGAAGAGTGCCGCCACCGTTTATGCGTCATATATCGTGGACTTTGTTGAATATGTGTCGTCAAACTGAGCCTCCGCTAGACCTGAGCGTTATCGATGAACTAATCCCGGCCTTTAGTATTCTGTTGCACAACGCGGATTCGCGAGTAAAATTTTTGTTTATTACTTTCACTAGGCATTTCTTGTAAAAATCATTTACTGTGTTCGTCGTCGCTTATGTACACGATGACGACGGCCGGTCGACGTGCCCCGTTAACGCGCAACGCGTCGGTACGGCTCGACGATTATTATATCGTTATTATATTATTATTATTATACGGTCGATATGTTTGAATAATAGGTCATAATCGACGTTCTGTGGGGCGTGAGTTATTTAGTCGATTGCGGACATGAACACATCGACCGATTCCTCGACAGCGGACTCGTGTCCAAGTTTGTTTCCTTTTTGGCAGATTCAGAACCCGAGGTAAAAACGATTTTTGTAATTAAAAGAAAAATAACATTATTTGAGTATATTTGGCGGTATGTGTGTTTCAGGTGCGGGCGGCGGCCATGAGAGTAGTCGGTAACATCGGAACGGGAACCAATGAACAAGCTCAGACGCTCATCGATGGCGGTGCGCTGACCGTTTTGCCGGACGTCATGTCGTCCGCGAAAACATGCAAAGTAAATACCGTCAGAAATGACGTACTCTACGATTACACAACCGATTTCGATAATCACACAAGTTGTTTAAATATTTTTCAAGGAAGCCATTTGGTTTTTGTCGAATGTCATGGCTGGAACACCGCAACAAATCCAAGCCGTTATAGATTCCGATCTGTTACCGACAATAATAACTTGTTTACAAATAGTAAGCGTTTTCAACTCCTCTTCTCCTAATCCACATCAACATCCTCCTCCTTTTCTTCATTATCGTTTAAACTCCACGAGTAATTGGCACGTCGACATCCCAATTTTCAGAGAACGTACGACACCCGAAAAGAAGCGGTCTGGTGTGTTCTGCATTTGACTATAAATGGTACCGTCGAACAAAAATTAGCGGCCATACAGGCGGGAGCGGTCGAACCTCTGTGCGAGTTACTAACGTGCGACGACGGTGAATTGGTCCATATGGTATTGGTAGGCCTTTTGAACGTGATAATGACGGTGATGCCCGAAAAAGAAGAATTGTGTTCGGAAATAGAAAACTGTAAAGGTACCGTGATTTTCCATTTTTAGTCGCTGTGTGTTTAATAAACACGATTTCACGGTATCACCCGACCAAACATAACGTCTCACACCGTTAAAATTTGCAGGTCTCGCGACAATAAAAAAATTAAGAAATAATTCCAATCCAGAAATCAGTCGATTGGCAAACGAAATAATGAAAAATGTTTTCATCAATTGATTTTTTTGGAGAAAGTTGATTAAAAATCAAATAACAATAACGACGACGACGTTGCGGAGAGTTCTAAAATACGAAACTGTTAGAAATTTCATCGGTTAATTTTTATTCTTTTGTTTGTCAGCGAATACACTTTTTTTTCGAAACGATATTCATTTTTTGGTTCAAATCACATGTAATTATTATTATTTTTTTATTTTAATTATATATTTTTTGTATAACTTGTGTGTGTGTACTTTATTCGAAGGGGAGCGAACGAGAGAGCGAAAGTAGAGGGCCAAAGTCCATTTTCAATAGTTAATAATAGAACGGAGCGGTAAAAACATAATCCTCAACGATAGTTTGGCTTTCGACTAACATTTTCTCGGTCGAATTATGTTAATAATAACATTTTTATCGTAAATAAAGACGAAACAAAAACCGTGTGTAATCAATGCGATTTTAGGAAAAAAACAAAACAAAAATAATTTTAACTAATAACTTCGGCTATCAATTTTGCCAACAGTTTGTCACGTCTACGATACACAACACTTAAATAACATTGTTCGTTTAGGGGACCGGCAAAAGGACTTCAGAATGTATTACGTCACGATAATCGGAAAAAGGCCTTGACTAGTTATAGTTGGAATATGACCTTGACGTAGTTTATAGGTTTCAAGTCGCCTCTGACGCGATGTTCGCTTGATTGATTGGTTGTGTCAGTAGTCGTAAATACTCGAGTCGTAACTACAGTAGTCGTAACTCTAGTCCGAGTCTCGTATTCGGTTGTGATGCGTTTCATTACGTCCTGATTTTCAAAGAACTTTGTTTTGCAGACGATCTTTTTCGAAAAAAATTTTTGGAATCGCAAATGACCCAAATGATATGCACAAATCATCGGCCATGTCTCTAATAGTCTCAACCGACGATTTCTAAGTACCTTTTTGTTTTCTTTTATTACTCGCTTAATGTGATATGACGTTCATTAGTCGACGTTTTCTGCCGATTTTGGACAACAATGTGGTGGTTGGATTACAACTCGTTGTATATATTAACATTTTCTGACGACAGATATCCAGACTCTGTCCTATCCTCAAATGCTTTCTTCAACATCATCCACGTTTTCGCCTTTTACAATTTGTTCAAAAAATTCAGACACAAATAATAATTACAAAATTCTAATTATATTATTAATAAAAAATTAAGATTATAATAAAAAAAAAAATCACTGACATTCTAAATATAACTAATAGTCGGTCTATTCGTACTTGATCATCTCGCCAAATATAATTTAACATTAAGACAATGGCAATGAGAAAATTTTTTTAATTTAGATACAACTTGAAAATGCTTTGATTTTACCAGAATGAGAATTTTTCCTTCTTTTTTTTTATGAATTGATTCAACATATTATCGCCGAAAACTTAACAAATCAACTCAATTTTAGTAATTTAAAAACAATTTCTCAAAACTAAGTTTGAGTCTTCATCTCTTTCGTTTTTTTTTTGTGTCTGTTACCACTCAATCCCAGCCCTCAGTGAATCGATTTTGATCAACAATACGTCAAAAGATCATAAATCATATCTAGTCGAAGACATTACCCTACCAAGTTGAAAAAATTTCCCTCGTTCCCCTTAAATGGGAGAAATAATTTTTATGTAATTCTTGGTGTTCAAATAGATGATACAATTGGAATATTCAAAACTGTTTTCCTTATAGTTATATCCTATAGTTTTTAACTAATTAGTAATAATATCAAAAATTATTGGTGATAAAAGACATATAATTGTTGATTTGAAATTAGCACGAAAAATTGAATAATAAAAGTATCTTTTTTACTCTGATGAAAATGTTTAGCAGACCATTTATTCATAATTAAGAACAAATTATTACCTAAAAAGTTCTGGGTCAAGTCATTCAATTTTTTATACACGTTTTCTATAAAAGTAATAACTACTTTATAATTATTTATAAATTTTCCAAAAAAATTACAATACTAAATTATTAAATATCAATTTCATACTGCGTTGAATATCTTTAATAGATATTTATTCATAAATTATTTTTATAAATCGACTACTAATTAGGAATAATGATAGAAATAGGAGTAAGTTTTGCTTTTAGAATAATCAATCAATTTCTTAAAATTAAATTTTATCTATAGATTTGCATCGAAGCGTTTTTTATAATAATGATTTTAATCGCTGTCAGATATCATCTATACTTGGCCCAACAATACCACGTCCCCACTGTGTTGGGCTGTTATAAATTAAATTACCCTTAGAAATTTTAAAGTGAATGTTGTTCTTATGAATCTTTTAATTTAAGTTTATTTTTTTAGTAAATAATAATGTTATATTCAGTGCATTTAACACACAGAATTAATGTTGGATCACTAAAATATTGTTATATGTCATTAGACATAAAATGAGCATAAAATGACATAAAATCCATGTTTTCAAATTATAAACATATCTATCGTGTAATAAACCATTAAGATAACTTATAAAGTTTTAAGGGTTTAATTTTTATTTTTGAATTATTACACATCAAGTATTTAAAAGCTTAAATAAAATAAAAATCGGTCCGTTTTAATAAAACAAAAATTGTATTAAAAAAAATTTTAGCCACAATTTTAAATTTCGATTTATTAATTTTAATTATTTTATTTTTTGTCAGTTCAATTATTAATAGGTTGTATTTTTTATTTTTAAATTTGGTGAACTAACGCAGTGAATTGCCACATAAAAATCAAATTGAAAAATAAAAGAATGTTTCAGCATGAAAAACAATTTTTTTTTAAAATAGTGACGCATATAAGTAATTTTAATTATTTCAGTAGAGTCAAACGAATAAATGTGTTTTAACTTACTATAAACAAATATACAATGTGTATCAAGTCGGAATTGACAGACGGTTATCACAAGTGTAATGGAAATCGTTTGAAAAAATGGGCACTATATGAGGGATTAGAACTCGCGGCCCAAGGTATCACAGAAACCAATTTCATAATAAGGCATTTAGATTGATAACGTGAAATGTGGCTGAGGATAAACGGTACTGTGTCATGTGATTCATTCTTTTATCGCCGTGAAACACTAAATTAATTGAAAAATAAAAATAACATAGAGAAATTGTTTTTTAATTAATTTTAGATACAAATCTTTCCATTCGTCAACCATGACGTATTTTTATGTTCACTATATACCTATATCTTATAAGGTATAGGTGGTAATTTCATTTTTTAAATGATAACATACAATGTGCTAAAAGCAGCTTATTTTTATATAGCCTAACCTATTGGTGTTTTATAATGACAGCGGTCTTAATGACTGTTAGATATCATCATTATCAACCTGTCCCACAAACTATGTCCAGCATCAACTATGCCGCGAACACACTATGCTGTGTTTTTTTTTAAACTCTGCCTTTTCTTAGATAGAAAGTATTTTAAAGAAATCAATTTTTAACATTTTATAGTATCACTAAAAAACTTAAATAATACATAATTCCGTTATTGTTATTCACAATACAATGACAGTCGAATGAATTCATTTTGATATATTAAGAGTGAAATTGTTTTGCTAAAAGTTGAACAATAAAATGTGTCAAGTTGACGTTTTATGAAACATTATCTTTTGAATTTAAAGAACTATAGTAGTGTTTGCAAATTTTTTAAGGAAAGGTTCATTATATACACAGTGATGACGATTGTCTTATCCTTAATGTATCACCCTGTATATTATTATATATATTATAATATAATTTCATTCGTTTATATTATTTTTATCTATTATATTAACTAAAAAATTTGAAACTGTAAAAATTTATATCTAATAAACGAATGAAATTATATTAAAAATTCAAACAACATTTAATATTTAAAAAGAACCTCAGACATTTGACTAAAATCAAAAATATGTGTTCCCATTTGAAAAAACAAACTTGAAACTCTTAAAAGACATAAGGGATGAACATAAATAGCATTATATCAACAATATTTAATCGAAATAATTTTTATTTGAATTATTTATATTTTGTGAGTAATTAAGTGAGCTATGATACAAAGATTACTCTATATTAGTCAAATAGCCTCACATATTTTGGAAATAATAATGATTTAAATGAATACATGTGTTTGTTTTAAATCTCACATATGCATTTTTTATTATAACAATATATATTATTGATGTTTTACAGCATAAGGTTATAACTTTAGCTGAATAAATAAATAAATATTCTTTATACTACTGCAATAGCGAAATGAACACACCACGAATAAAATAATTTAAAAATTTTATGTATTAATCGAATTAAAGAAATGCTAGGAAAAATATTAAATAAAAATGAAATTAGAAAGTTCGATTTTCGTTATTTGTAGATAAAATTTTTATACAATATATTTATCATGTATTAATATATAAATATATATATATATATATATATATAATTATATATAAAATAATTTGCCTATAATTAATTGAACTAGATCAGTTAATAAAAAAAATAAACCAATAATTAATGTGCTTTTCATTAATTGATATCAATGATATATTGATATCAATTGATCAATTAATATGAATAATAAATACTAAATATCGAATTTTAATCAATTAAAACATAATTTGTCTAATATATATTAAGAAAAGATGTTTTAAATAAAAATATTTTAATTTATATAATACAAATTTTTTTTTCATAAAATTACACAAATTAAATTCAGATTTTTAACACCAAATATTTATATTTTCTGTATTTAAAAAATAAAAGTGTCAAATTAAGAACAATTTTTTGTGTATTTGTATCTGATACTTGATTTTTGTATTTATTGATATATTTTTCTATAATCAGCTTAACATGAAATAAAAGAAATTCCACATAATTGATTTTTAACAGTTGTGTAAAACTTAATTTAAAATTTTTTTATTTAAATGATGAGTGAAAAAAATGTGAGTCGTTTATAAAAATTGAAAATTATAATTAACAATCTATAAGATTTTAATATAATTAAAAAAATAATGAGGGTTCTATAGAAACGTAAAATTAGGGAAATTAAAAATGTGATAATTATTTAAATTTTATTGTATAATATATTGGTTTACTAATTTACTAAAACCTAAATCGTAATCAGTTTTAACAAAATCTTCACAAATTTGTTTTAAATGTGAACTTATTTTAAGAAATACAAATTTATTAGAATCTAAGGTTTCAGGATCTAAGGTTTCAAGATCTAGGGTATCAGGATCTAGGGTATCAGAACCTAGATTATCAATATGATGTTTTGGTTTAATTTTAAATGAATCTATTAATTCCAAATCATTTAAAATTGGTATGTCAAAATCGCAATTGTTCACAAGAAATTGATAGATTTTAGTATTTGAAAATGTACTAGATAAACTAGATAGAGTTTTATACACTTTTTCAAAATATCTTATTCCTTTTAATATATGATCCATTTTGAATGAAAAATTATATTGGTTTTTCATTGCCTGCACATATGCTGATGTAATTTTTGAAACTTGTTTTAAACACGATAGAGATGTTACCTCATAATCCCATATGAATGCTTTTTTCAACAATGCAAGAATTGCGAGTAAAGAATTTAACATGATTGTAGCTGATGGAAATGTACTTTTCAATGCATTTGTACAAAAAATTAAAGATCCGTAGCTTTTATTTGCATTTTCTATCATACATAAATGTTGCATAGCAGTTAATGAAACAGTAATGTTATTTAATACTGCACTAAATCTACACTTCAACATATGTGCAACGTCTTGTTTTTTGCTGTGAAAATTGATTTCATTTACTTCATCATGTTGTATTTCATTTATATCTTTAGTTTGACTGTTCAACCGAATTTTCGTATGATATAACGATTGCCAATATATCTCCTTAAATAGTGTATTTATAACATAGATTCCGAGATCTTTAGATGAGTCATATGTTGGTGGTATGAGTCTATAAGCACAAAAAATACAAAATAAAGAATTACGATTTATTTATTTCAAAATCGATTGTTATTTATAAAAGTTTTTTCATTAACTCTATTTGTGATTCCATAAAACAAAAATATGAACATTAAATGGTGTGTTAAAAACCTATAAGTTAACTTCGTCGTATAAAGTATATTTGTCAGGTAACAAGAATGTGCTTTGTCAAAGTGATATAGGACTACGCTAAGGCATAGCCTCTCATTTTTAGGTCCATTATAGTCAGTGGTGGTTTAGCTATGTAATTGTAAGAACTATTATGCCATTCTACATTTTATTTCTATTGATATTTTTTCTAAGGTATATTATTCTATGTCTATTTAATAATGTTAATGTGCGAGACTACAACAAAAAAGTATATTTGTTTTTAATAATTTCTTTCATTTACACAATGTTTATTTATGTAAAATCACATATATAATAACATTTTTTAAGAATATTCTCAGTAATACTTTTGAAAATTTCTTTTTTTACTTTTAGCTTTGGTGCGAATCTGAGAAGGTATATGATTTACCATTATGTGTTTTATGACATTACATAATAATATTCAGCTTTATTCAGCGTATCAATATTTTTCGTTTATACATCAAAATAAACTGATTTCTGAATCTAGTTGCACTTATCGTTGCTGAAAATTGAAATACACTGTAGTTATAAAAATTTTTAAAATATTTAAAATATGACATTATTAAATTATGATAATTTCTTTTTTTTTTTAATACTGATCCTAATAAAATATTAATAGGGTATATTAAAGACGATAATGATCTTTGTTATGGTATACTTCTTGTTATGGTATATTTCGTATATATACAAACGCCAAGTAGTTTTTTTTGGACAACCAATTTAATGTAATTATACAGAATTCATTGCTGGGACCCGACTGCTCTCAAGAGCCCAAGGCCCAATTAGATCCTTTGTGGACCGTCATTATGGATAGATTATAGATTCTAGTAGGAGTAACCGGCTACGCCGGATGTGTTTTACAAAAAAAGTATTACATCAGAATCATCAGAATAAATATATAATAAATATTTAATTATCAAAATGAGTAAAAGTTAAAAAGGGACAATAGTAAAATATAATAAATATACTGGTGTCGTAGAAGTTATTAAAATAATATGATAATATTTCATTTTTAACACTATCTTTAGTATAGACGATATTAAAAAAATTGTGTTATAAAGTTATAGGATACATTATTCAATATAAAAATTACAAATAAAAGAAAGTAAATTAAGATTTATGTAATATTAGAATATGATACATCAATAAAAAAATTTCATTAGCATGTAATACTATATAAGAATTGATATTATTCAAAATTAAGAAAGATAAGAGTATAATATTGTGTTATTTTAAATTATTTCCAATAGTTTTTCTTCTTTTTAATTGTTCTAACAGCTTCCGATTCCTCTCTTCTTGTAAAATGACCGAACCATTTAAATCTATTTTCTCTCATTTTATCCATGATTGACGCTACACCTATACTACCATATATATGTTTGTTCCTTATCCTATCTTCTCTAGTTGCTCCACTCAACATTCTAAGTATTTTCATCTCTGCTACTTGTTCTCTGCTCTAATTTTTTGTCAACCTTCCAAAACTCTGAACCATATATCATAGTTGATCAACAGTCTTATATAACTTACCTTTTTGCTTCATTGAAATTATTTTATCGTATACCCACCAGATACTTCTCTTTACTCAACCACTCGCACTTAATCCTGTATCATATATTCTCGTCAATACCACCGCTCTTTTGCACAAATACTTAAAATTTTCCACTTCTCCTATCACGACCTTGCTTATTTTCACTGATCTACTCATTTCACCTACTTCGTGGTTTCCTTTGTCAAACTCATACTCTATATACTCTGTCTTACTCCTCCCATATTATTAAAATTTTAATTTTAAAATTACGTTTTAATTATAATATATATATATATATATTATTAATAAATAAAAATAAATAAAAAACCCAACACAGGGGGGACGCGGCACAGTGGTGACGTCGTATAGATGGATCAAGTATAATGATATCTGACAGTGATTAAAATCACTATAAAAAAAAACGCTTCGATGTAAATCTTTAGATACTGTTTAATTTTAAAAAATTGGTGGACTATTCCAAAAGCTACATGATCTGCTAGTTCATTATTAATATCCTAATTAAGATAAAGTATGTAGAATGAAAAAGGGATTATTAAAAAATATTATTTCTCATAAAAAAATAATGTTGATCCATACACTTTTCAATATGTCATAGCATTATAAAGTTAAAAATGTAAAAAATAAAATCGAGAATTTTCACACAATAATAGCATTCGGTAGCCATTTTCACCGTGAAGATAAAATAAAGTCCGAAATTTTTTTTTC